TTGAGTTGTGGTGTTTGCAAAGAATACTGAAAATACCATGGACTGCTAAAAGAACTAACAAATCTGTCCTGGAAGAAGTGTAGCCTGAATGCTTCTTGGAAGCAAGAATGTCCTGACTTACTTTGGACATGTTGTCAAAAAAAAAAAAAAAACCTCCTCACTTCCATCAAGTTGATTCCAACTCATAAAGAACCCTTCAACGTTTCCAAGATGGTAAATCTTTATGGAAGTAGATTGCCCAGTCTTCCTTATGGATGGTTAGTAGTCTAATGTCGTAGGCACTACACCATCAGTTTTAAGAAGGGACCATTCCCTGGAGAAGGATATCATGGTTGGTAAAGTGAAAGGTCTGCAAAAAAAGGGGAAGACCCTCAACAAGATGGATTGACACAGTGGTTTCAATGATGGGCTCAGGTATAGCAAGGACTGTGAGTCTGGAACAGGACCAGGCAGTGTTTTGTTCTGCTGTACACAGGGTCACTATAAGTCGGAGCCTACTCAATGGCACCTAACAACAACAACAGAAATAAATGTCAAATATGGAGCATGAACATAACCAAAAATTTAGTCATGGAGTTGAAAATTAAAGGTGATCAGTAATAATTCTTTGTCAAAAAATATGTTAAAAATCAGAATATTCTGGTAAAGAGGCCATGGATTATTTCCAATACGAGGAACCATTGTTCTATAAGGGATGGTTTAGAAAATCTGTGATATGAAAATGAATTGAATTTTGTATCTGTAAATCCTTTTCTGGTTATGAATTCTTCATTAAATATATGTACTGCCAATATTTTATCACTGTTTAAATTTCCTTTTTTGTTTTTTTCTTTTGCCTTTTTAATAAAAAGAGGTAGTGAGTGTTCTAATGGAGAACTTACTCTTTGCTACAAAGTTCACTATTCCAGTATTTCAATAATAACTTTTTTCATCAAAAACCACATAAATATCCTTATCACAGTACATACTTCACTGTTCAGTACAACTTCAATCTAGTTATCCTCTAAACCAAACATAAATACCACATTTAATTCCTAACAGAGAACATCTCACATTTGTAAATTATTTCAAGTTTACCTTTAAAAAAAGTAGCAGCAAATCCTGCCTTGTTAACAGTTCCATCAGAAACAAACTTCATCCACAGGGTATTGGAGGTAGATCTTATATCTTCAGGTTTATCATAACCACAGAAACGCCCTATCAAAGGGCTATTTTCACTGGTTCCATCTCGGACTTCCAGGTAGTCGTAGGCACAGCTGTCGTGTCTCTCAATCTGCAACAATAGAAATATCTGAGCATATATCTCATTTTTAGATAAAAATTTTATAGAAAGATTATTATGTACTATCAGTGACATAGTACTAGAATGTTAATATAAAAAGAGTACTTATATGAAATGAGAGCATTTCCCATGATGGTACATGAGTGATAGTTACAATGTATATAAATAAAGGACATATTTTTTTAGTAGATAGGAAAAAAATAAAAAAATATTCATGTTCTTACATGACTCAGGATCAACAGAAGTTAACTGCCTTTGGGAAAAAAAAATTGCAATGCTGTCAATGTCATGAGATAAAATGTAAATGAACTGCTGTATGGAAAATGAATTTGCTTTGTAAATTTCACCCAAATCACAATAAAAATTAAAAAAAAATGCAAAATGCAAGTGGTGACTCTTTGATAAACAGAGCTAAAGAAAATAAACATATTTAAATCATCATAAAGCATCAAGGCCAAATACAGTTAAGAAATGCGTAAAATTTGTGTGAAACATCATTATAAAAATTAACCAGAGTTCATCAACAAAACTTTTATTTTATTCAAAAAGAAGCTGGATTCAAATTCTATCAAGAAATATAGTACTATTTTAAGCTATACATCCTTTTTGGAAAAGAAAATCTGATAATATAGGATTACATTTCTTCTCAGACTATAAAATTCTTTACCCATTATTAGCACAGATGTGTGTAGAAAAACTACTGTATTGTAGAATCAGCACTGGCTTTCCTTTCTCAAGGTAACATGGCTTGGCTTAGATGAGCTTTTTACCTCAACATACTCTTCTTAACCCACAACCTGAAGGAAGTCAATTTCTTTTCTTTTTTTTTTTTTTTGTCCTTTTATTTCAAAAATATAAAACATTTTTAAACAGAAACAAAGACTAGTACAATGAACCTTCATGTGCCCATAACCTAGTTTCAAAAGCTATCAACTAATGGCTAATCTTATTTCTTTTATTTAAAAAATGAAAAAAAAATATATATCCTAGTGACACAAAATAACCACAATCATTACAGAAGCAACAGAAGACAGACTTGGAGTAATCCCTCAGAAACAGCCAAACACCCTGGGAGAACCATCAGGTCTGCTGACTCGGGACCATAATATTGGGGGACACCAGGCTCAATTGGCACAACATAATACATAAAAATCTTGTTCCGCCGCCTAATTTGGTGAGTAGCCAGTGGGGTCGTAAACACTTTTGAGTGGCCATCTAAAATGCAGCTAATGTCTCCTCTTGTTTGAAGCAAAAAAGAGTGAAGAAAACCAATGTCATTTGGAAACAATCAGCCCTAGGATATGATCGACCTTGAGACCAGAAGAGCTAAATAGTGCCCAGCTACCAATGCCAACCACTTGGGAAGGGATCAGAACTGGAGATCCTTGAAAGAGTGGGAGGAAAAACGTGGAACAAATTTCAAAAACACAATAATGACCAGAATTACTGGTCAGATTGAGTCTGGTGGCCCTGGAATACACTTTGGGCCTGGGATAGAACTCACTCCCAAGGCCTGGCTCTCAGCCCAACAGTAGAAAGACTTACATGAAGAACATCCAACCCAGAGGGATGCACCCACTTACTCTACTGAGATACACCCCTTGGAACAATCGGTCATGGGGCACCAGATGGGCAGCATTCTCATGGAGGGAAGCTGGACAGACAGGCGTGCATAACTAAGAAGAGCACAGGGATGGGGGTGACATAGGGAAGGGAGAGGACGAGAGCAGTTTAGGGCTGGGGATGGCAATCGGGGAGTGAAACCAAATGTACACAAACTGTTGAATGTAAAACAAATTCTGTTCTGTAAATTTGCACCCAAAGCAAGTATAAAAAAAAAAAATCCTTCACCTATATCAAACCTCTCTTTTAATTAATTATCTATTCATTTTCCCATCATTCTATTCTTTTCCCTACCCTGGTAAGCAACAAATAAAATTTTCTTCCCTGTGTAAACCTTTCCTTGACATTTTATAATAGTGGACTAATACAATATTTGTCATTCTGTGATTGAATTATTTCACTCAGCATAATGTCCTCCAAGTTCATCCACATTATGAGGTGATTTATTGATTCTTCATTATTCTTTAAAGTTTTATAGGATTCCATTGTGTGTACCATCGTTTGATTATCCATTCTTCTGCTTATGGGAACTTAGGTTCTTTCCATCTCTTTGTTATTGTAAATAGTGCTGCAATGAGCATGGGAGTGCATATTATCTAGTCATATCCTGGGCCTCACCTCTTTAGGATATATTTCTAGTAATAGAATTGCTAATCAAATAGTATTTCTATTTCCGACTTTTTAAGGAAGCTCCATACTGTTTTCCACAGTGACTGTAACATTATACAGTCTCACCAGCAGTGTATGATGGTCCCAATCTCTCCACAACCTTACCAGCATTTGTTATTTCAGCCTTGTTGAACATTGTTACTATTGCTGGAGTCGGATGATATCTCATTGTTGTTGTGATCTGCCCTCTCTGATAGCTAATGATCATGAGCATTTCTTTAGGTGTTTGTTGGCTACCTGAATATCTTTTTTGGTGAAGTGTCCATTCATATCCTTTCCCTATTTTTGAATTGGATTGTTTGTCATATTGATGTTGAGTAGTTGAAATTTTCTATAATTTTAGAGATAAGTGCCTTGTCTAATATGTTGTTGCCAAGTGTTTTTTCCCAGTTTTTAGGTTCTCTTCATACTCTTTTGGAGAAGTCTTTGATGCAGGTAAGAATTCAATTTTTATAAGGTGCCAGTCATCTAGTTAATTTTCTGCTGTTCATGTATTTTGGGTTATGCTTGATAGTCTATTTATACCATAAATTAGAGCCCCTAAGTTTGCCTCTATTTTATCTTTAATGAACTTTATAGTTTTAGGTTTTACATTTAGGTTTTTGATGCATCTTGAGTTTTTTCTTTGTGTGTATGTATATGATTTGAAGTACGGATCTTGTTTCATTTTCTGCAAATGGATATCCAGTTCTGCAGCACCATTTGTTGAAGACACTATCTCTCACTCATTGAATGAGTTTTGGCCTTTTGTCAAAGATCAGCTGTCAATAGGTGGATGGATCTATTTCTGGACTTTCAATTTTGCTCCACTAGTCTACATGTATATATTGTTGTACCAATGTCTGGCTGTTTTGACTACTGTGGCTGTATAGCAGCTTTTTGAGATGTGAGAATGTAAGACCACCTACTTTGTCTTATTCAGTAGTGCTTTGTTTATCTGTATTCTCTTTCCTTTTCATTTAAAATTAGTGATTGATTTTTCCATGTCCTTAAAGAATGTTGATGGACAATAGCTTTTCTTAACAACTAAATGCAAATATTAGGTCAGGTTATTGACTTATGAAACTTTATGTAGAACTATGTGTTCATGGACCTATTTTCTCTTTCAATGTCCATTTTAAAAATAGTCAAAATTTAAATATAAATTAATTTAAAAATTATAAGAATATTTACAAATTTAATTTATACTTTTATGTTTTCATAGAAAATGGACACTAGCTGTAGAGTCTTATCAAAGCCAACAGTTTATTTGAGGTTAACTAGAAAGCACAGACCCTTATAATTTAAAATAAACAACATGAAAATTATCACATTGTCAACTACCTTTCAACATACAATTCAATAATTTATGTTGTTGTTATGTGCCGTTGAGTCGGCCCTGACTCATAGCGACCCCTCCTTGGGTTTCCGAGGCAGTATCACTACGGAAGTAGGATTGCCCAACCTTCCTTCCGAGGAG